ATCTATCTCCCTTTCACCAGCCCTCCATCTAATAACTTATATATGAGGCTTCCATGGCTTCTGTGATTTCAAACACATCAGCTGATGGTAGTTCCTTATGTTGGGATCAGTGTCTCTGAAGTTTAGTCGTAATGTTTTCCGATCAAAGGTGATGCATCTTGTAGAACTGGTGTGTAGATAGGCTTTTCTTGGCCCTCGGGCCGGAACAGATGTCACGGAGGTTTTGGCGTCTTTTGCAACATCCGTTCTGGCAGGAAGCTCAGAGGAGGTGTTAGACATCTGACTAGCTGAAGTTGGGCACCTCAGAGGACAGCCTCAGACCTCGCAGACCCATCCCATCTCCCCAGGAAATCGAAGACGCCAAAACCCTGCGACATCCGTTCTGGCAGGAAGCTCAGAGGAGGGGTTAGGCATCTGACTAGCTGAAGTTGGGCACCTCAGAGGACAGCCTCAGACCTCGCAGACCTCAGACCATTTGCTGTAGAGAGGTAATTAACTTGTGGTTACTGTAATGCTAAACTCTGTGACACAGATGTGTCAAATGTGATAATGGTTACCTATGGTGGACAGTGTTTGGTGGAGCTACCCGATTAAAACAAGCTTGGAAAGAGGAGTAGCATTCACTTCCAAAATAGTTTGCCTCCAGAAACTCTATGAAGTTGGAGAAATGATGTAAGTTATACAAGTGTTCAGGTCTTTCATTCATAGGGTCGTTACCAACAACAACAACAACATTCAACTCACAGCCATTCTCAGAATCACTGACCCTCTTTCCACTAGGTGTCTGAAGCTGTAAATCACAAGAGAGGAGACTAGCCCATTTTATCCTGTGGAGCTGTTGGTGGATTCAAACTGCCAGAAAAGCCCAGCCTTTGGGTTTGTAGCACAAATCTCTAGGAACTGCACCACAAGGGGAATTTTGCAAGAGTACAGGACATAGGTCCTGAATTGGTTTTTTTGCTCATTCAAACTCCTTTCTCTTTCATTTCTTTGCAAACTTCAGTGATGGGACAGGAGACAACAGAAGAATCATTAAGAAACATTGTGAAGTTCTTAGGAAGAATTAACAAAAGTAATGGAACATCACTGCAAATATTTTCAAAACAAGTCAGGGGAAGTAAAACAAGGTAGTTAGTATATAATAATCACTCTCACATCAAACTCAACTCAAATTAGGCACTGAAGGCATGCTATGTAAGAAGAAATGGATCATTCCATTCTTCTTCCACATAAAATTGTTTCATTCAGTAGGTCTGGTTTTACTCTACTTCTCTGTGAAAGAACATAATGAATAGGCTTTTAAAAGTGTCACTTAGGTTCATCTTAAATTCTTTCATCCCAGGAAATAAAACAACCAAGATTTGAAATACACTTTCCAAGTGAAGTATTTTCACTTAGTACTTCTCACCTGTTCATAATAGCTGATATTTTCCTCTGCCATATCTGTAAATGCTGACTTGATATCGTTTTGCATATTTTGTTTCCATCTTTCCCAGTCTGCTTTCAAGGCATTATTAGCACATTCCACTTTATCTTCAAGTTTTCCAATTTCTTCTGTAAGCTGGATAAGTTCACAAAGGGAGAGAAATTGATCTACGTATTCTCATTACTAGGTGCTTCATCAATGCTAGATTGAACATTATTTCAAAACAAGCTTAAGAATAACTCTGTATAAACAAGTCACTAGTGTTGGGAGTGTCGGAGACAGTGTGATTGGCACAGGACAGAGCAGAGTTTAGGGCTGTTGTACATAGGGTCACTATGAGTCTCAAGCGACTCGATGGCACATAACAACAACAGTGCTTACTATGAAGCTCCCTCTTCGACACTGAGACCTTGAGTTCTCAGTCTGTCACCAATCCTTTCTTGACTTTGGCTAATCTCTTAAACCCTGGGCTTTAGTTTCAGTATTTTTATAAGACAAAGTAAACTAAATTACAAGTTATCTTGGAATTCTTTTGCACTAATATTCTGATTACCAATATCATTTGTGAGGACAACTCTTATGTTAAACGAAACAGTTTCCTGTGGGCTTTCTATTAACAGTCCTTCTTTTTCTTTTTAAATCAGAAAGCTTAATTAACAGACATGTTATATAAGCTATTGTGATATATTCCAATTTAGAAAGCAGTGGATTAACTTGCAAGCTTTAGTTAGCTAAGAAAGAGGTAAATTTATAGGCTTTACTTAGCTGGGGAAAGAGGCAAGTTTATTTCACAAACACCAGACACCTTGTTCAAGCTCAACTAGACAGATTTAGTGTAACATGTATACCTCCTCTCTACCCTTCCCACCAGTGTCTGTGCATGTAACCCACTGATACATTCTTTATTCATATATTCTGCAAATATATATTTGTTGATTTGGTACAAAACAGTGTTCTTCACAGAGTAAGAGACTGTGTAGTAAAGAAATCTTTTTTTTTAACAAAGCATATTCTCTATTGGGAAAGACACTCTATGATCAAGATAAATAAGTAAAATATGAACTGTATCAGTTTGTCAGAAGTGTAAAAGCAAAAAATAAAGTGGAAAATGCATGGAGAAAGTTTAGATAAAGCAAGGAGAGAAAGACTAGATGAGAAAGTGTCATTTAAATTAATATCTAAAGTAAATGTGACAGTGATAAGTGGAATTCTCACCAGGAAATGGAAATAGCAAAAGCAAAGGCCCAGAGAAGCAAGTGTGCCTACATAGTTCAAGAAAGAGGGAGAAGTGTAACACATCAGCACTACAGTATAAAAAGGGGGATGTCCTAGTGGGGTAGATTAGAGAACAGTGGTTAACAGAATTTACATAATGGAAGGTGCTACTCTTCAGTGTTTAAGAAAGCATTTGTGGGACCCTCTTGCTGAAGGTGAATTCATATTTCAGAGATGTTTTGGTCACACAGTCATAAAAGTTGTTCTGCTAAACTGAGGTCATGCCTTTCCGGTGGCTTAAACCCAGCAGTGGCTCTGCCAGAGAAAGACATGGCAAATCCTCCTGTGTGATTTATAGCCTTGGCCACCCAGTGGAGGCTCAGCTATGAGTTGGTCCTGACTTGACGGTAAGATAGTGAGGATAAAAAAAAAAAAGGTCCATAAAATACAGTATTTTACTTCTGATGTTTATTTGGATTATCCTTTCCTTGGCTATGGAATATCATTATTCTAATTGCATCACAGCGATATTTGCTCTGTTTTCCTAGTAACAAATTTTAGTATTCTGTTCATTTTCTGTTATCTAGGACAGGTTCCTTTTAACAGTAAGATTGCCTCTCAGGGTTCTGCTATTGCTGATTTCTTTCTCTCCTTGTTTTCTTGGGAGGATAGAACTTTCTCAGTAGCTCCATTTATGACACTGTGGGTATGTGCATGCCTGCGGGTATTTTGTTAAACTTTACAGAGCGTATCTAATGAGACTTTATTGCAAGAACTAATAAGAGCAGTGTGCTATGGGATGAACTAAGAGAAAAACGTCAAAGGCCAATCTGGAAAAGCTCAGGGCCTGATAGGCTTACTTCTCTGGGCTTTTGGATGAAGTCTTGCCATTGCAATAGTCAGATGAAGATTATTAGCAAAATGTCTTTCCTGCAATGAGAATGATGAAACACATACACCAACTATAATCACAGATTCTCTCCTCTGATTAGGTCGTGCAGCTTACAATCATTACGGACCAAAGTGGGATCACCACGGAGCACCAATACAGCTTGTTTGCAAGTCAATTCTGAGTCATATTGAATCCACACACATCAGAGCACAGTTGGGCTCTACAGGATGTTTACTGTCTTGTTTTTGGGAAATACACAGCCAGCACATTCTTCTTCTTTTTTTGTGTGTGTTGGTTACACTTTATTACATCAGATGGGCTTTGGGGGACAGTGGGGTGCACTCAGTCCTTCTTGGCAGCTGCCTTCATCATGGCGGCCAGGACGTTGCTGAGTTCTTCTCGCTTCCTCTTTGCGTAGATGTGTGTCCCCACCCTTTTCTTGATGAACTTGAGGGCTCCATTGTCCTTGGAGACCTTAAGCAGCTCCATGGTGCATCGCTCCTAGGGCGTGAAGCCACACACCTCCTGGATCATGTCCCGCAGGAACTTGGTGTGCTTGGTGAGGCGCCCGTGGCGGCGGCTGTGCCTCGGCTTGCTCACGTTCTTGGTGACTTTGCAGCCTTTGTTGAGGCCCACGGCCATAGGGTAGCGCACAGCCATGGCTGCTGCACGTCTATGGCTGTTGTGGCGGAAGGACAGTTGGGCGCTGAACAGTCTTCTTAAACACCTCAATCAGACTTAAACTTCTACCTTCCCAGTTAAGAGCCAAGCATATTAATCCTTTCTGCCAGCCAGGGAGCGATGGTACAACAACTGTCCTGACTCTGGCATAAGAAAGCACAGTACTTTTCCTGTCTGATCTTTTGTTTTGCTATGTGCCCTCGAGTGGCTTGTGACTCATAGCGACCCTATGGACAACAGCCCAAAGTCTGCTCTGTCCTGTGCCAATCACACTTTCTCTGACACACCCATCCCGATTACCCCAGTCACTAAATCAATCCACCTCATAGAGGGTCTTCCCTATTGCGCCGTCCCTCCACCCTCCAAAGCATGATGTCCCTCTCCAAGGACCTGTCCCTCCTTGCAACATGTCCAAAGTATGTTAGACGGAGCCCCAGATTCCTTGTCTCCAAGGAGCAGCCTGGTTTAACCCTCTCCAGGATGAATCTGTTTGTTTTCTTGGCAGTCCATGGTACCTTCAATACTCTTCTCCAGCACCACAGCTCAGGGCATCAATTCTCCCTCTATCCTTACTAATCATTTTCCAACTCTCTGATGTATAACAAGTGATTGCAAAGACCATAGCCTGTATCAGACACCCTTAGTCTCCAGAGTGACACCACTGCTCTTCAGTACCGTGGAGAGGTCCCTAACAGCACACTTTCCCATCGCAATACGTTTTTTGATTTTCTGGCTACTGCTGCCAAGAGTGTTAACTGTGGAGCCAAGCAGACTAAAGTTGTTAACAATCTCAGTCTCTTCACCATCTATCCTAATGCAGCCAATTGGTCCAGTGGTGAGAATATTTGCCTTCTTGACATTGAGCCTCAATCCATACTGAAGGCTGCAGTCCTTAACCCTCTGAATCAAGCATTTCAGGTCCTCCACAGTTTCAGCAAGCAGGGTTGTGTCATCTGCATAACACAGATTGTTAATAGATCTTCTACCAATCCTGATGCCACACTTCTCCTCATAGAGTCCAGCCTCCCGGATAATCTGTTCTGCATAAAGATTGGAAAGGCATGAGGATAGGATACATCCCTGGCATACACCTTTCCCAATTTTAAACCATGCAGTGTTTCCCTGCTCTGTTCTGACAACTGCCTCTTGGTCCAAGTATAGGTTTCGCATTAGCACAATCAACTGTTCTGGGATTCCCATTCTTCTCAGAATCAGCCACAGTTTTTATGATCCACACAGTCAAACGCCTTTGCATAATCAATGAAACACAGATAGATATTCTTCTGGTATTCCCTGCTTTCACCTAAGATCGATCTAACGTCAGCTACAATATCCCTAATATCACGACCCCGATAAACCTATCCTGGACTTCTGGCAGTTCTCTGTTGATGTGCTGTTCCAGTCGTTTTTGGATAAGCTTCAGCAGAATCTTGCTTGCAAGTGAAATCAATGATACTGTTCTATAGTTTCCACACTCTGTTGGGTCATCTTTCTTGGAACAATTGGTGAGCACATTCAGGGCAGCATCTGTTAGCTGAAATATGTCAACTGGTATACCATCTATTCCTGGGGCCATATCTTTTGCTATTTCCTTCAAAGCAGTTTGAACTTTTTCCTTCATCACTATAGGCTCTTGCTCATATGTTATGTCATTAAATTCTTCTGTTGTCTACCAGTTCCTTTTGATACAGTGACTCAGTATATTCTTTCCATCTTCTTTTAATACTTCCTGGATTATTTAATATTCTTCCTAAATCATCCTTGATTATAGCAACTCGAGGTTTGAATTTGTTCTTCAGGCCCTTGAGCTTAAGAAATGCTGAATGAGTTTGGTACTTTTGATTTTCCTACTCCAGCTCCTTGCACATTTCATTTTAATACTTTGTTTTGTCAATAACACTTATTCTACATGACTTTACACATATATATGTATGTATGTATGACTATACACATATACAAATATATACACATATACATACATACACATATGTGTGTATATATGTACATATGTATATATATGTATATGCATATATATGTATATATGTGTGTGTGTATATATGTATGTAGGAGTGGCATCCACTTCCTAAATAACATGCTTCCGGAAACTTTATGAACTCTGATAAATGTCGATAGTTGTAGAAGGGCTTCAAGCCTTTTGTTCATAGGGTTGCTATGAGAAGTACTCGACTCAAAGGCAATCAACAACAACATATATATATCTATATATCTATATCTATCTATATATATATCTCACAAGATAATTAACACCGATTCACACAATGCCTGGCAATTTGCCCATGATTATTACTACTGTTACTATCTGTTTTATTTTTTATTGAAAATTAAA